TCTGCCTTGCAGGTATCGCATCGAGTACGAGACTCTCTGCAAAATCGAAGCAGACCAGAACGAATTCATTGACCAGTTCATTTTCCAGAAATAGAGGATTTGAAGATAACCAACTCACGTGGAAACTTGACCATTCCAGAATCTTGAGAATTCCAGAAATATGCAATTTCCAGGAGTGCAGATGGTTTGTACAGTGTACCATGGCAATAAGGAGGGCTGACAGCTCACAGCTGCACAGACTGTTCTGGCCTTTGATTTTATACCAGTTTTGTACAGTCAATAGTTCTAATTCAAATTACAATTGAGTTAATACTACTGGTGCTTTGTTGTGTCTCTTTTTGAACTCYACAGCTCTTTTACAGAAATCAGAAAATAAACTATTGTTCTCAGACTGTCTGGCTGTACCAGCATTAGTTGCTCCTGCTCTRTTATTTTTCAGTGTAAGGGTTTACACACAAGCAGCAGTATTGGATCTCTAGTGCCTATGTTACTTTTTCTATAGAATTAGAAGAAAAAGATAGAAATGTATGATTTCCAGAATTACAGACACAAACTGTGAGAATGAAGAACTTTGAACTGTTSCTGAGGAATGTCCATTCAGGAGTGTCATGAGAGCTGAATCCTTTCATGGACATAATTAGGATGTAACACCAGACTGATGAGGAAACCATTCCAAGTGTTGGTGACAGCAGTACATAAACTGTATATAAACTACAAACACTCATGCTGAAGTGCAAATAGATGCATTTTGTGTATTTAGCACTTCAGTGTGGAAATGTTGCCATTCCCAAAGCCTGGGAAAGGCTTAAACTTTACACAGTGAAGTGTAAAATGTACCAGCAGTGCCTGAGCAGCTTCATGGGACCTGTCACCTGTCCAGGCTCAATCGAGAACTTACAGAACCAAACCCAACCACAGAACTTCTCAGAGGTTGTAACTTATGCATGGATTTACTCTGTGAACTCTCTACCATCTCATGGTCTCTCTAAGTTCCCCTTCAGCCATTCCCTGAAGAAGATTTAATGCAGTTTAATGCRTTTAGGTATTTATTTCCATACTAGAAGTGATTTTAGGGAAGAAAGAAATTTTCAACTCTTTGTTTACAATTCCTGAAGTATTTCGGCAGTATTCCTAGTTGTCAAAGGTAACTTCAAGCATTCATAAATTCAGATTTTGGCACATTTATCACTGATCAGACATTCATAATTAATCAAAATGAAGCAGAGCAAAGGTAGTGGWAATTTTAAAGGAATGGGCAAGGAAGTTAAGAATCATGATATGATTTTAAAYGCTTCAGAAGAACAGCTTTGTAAATCTGTATGTAATTGGTTGGGGATTCTTCAGAATATGCTGTTGGAAGACAAATTTCCTACTGAAGTGGTTTCCAAGCAGTCGTCTTGGACAAAGGGAACTTGGAAGAACGGTGTCAGCTGCAGAGTGTGAGTGAGTGAGTGAGTGTGAGTGCCCCCTCACAGAGTTACACAGCAAAARGTTAAATGTCCATTTTCCTGGGAGAGAGGCCCCTGCCAGAGCTGTTGGAGGTCGAAGCAGGGCTGTGCACTGGAACCAATTCCATTTTTCCTTGCAGCAGCCTTGGCTGTAGGAAGAGCTGCTGCAGCCAACACGAGGGAGGTTTTTGTCCCAGAGGACTCGGCCAGCACAGGCGTGGTGTGCACGGCCTCCAGAGCCAACTACTTCCTTTTCCTCTTCTCCACGTGTTTGTAGTGGGGGTTGCAGAGCATGGTGAACAGGATGAGCAGAGGGATCAGCAGGTAGGGCAGGTAGATGGAGAGCAGGACCAGGCGCTCCCGCAGCGTCTCRGGGCCCCCGTGCTCCTGCTTGGAGAAGTCGTGGAACAGGATGTGGGCCAGGATGGCAAACAGAGTGGTGGCCACGTGGGTGGAGTAGATAATGGCAGGAGTCCTGATCCATCTGCAGCCACCTGYGCAGGAGCAAAAAGGAAAWAGTATTTAAGGATTTTGAAACAAGCAGAATTCCGAGATTTGTAGCAACATTGAGCACTGCCTCTCTGCCTGGGTAAACCAGATTGAACGGGAGCAGGAAAAAACCTCACTACTAGTAGGAGCTAAGGAAATTTCTCTCCCTTGATAGAAATTCAGAGTAACGGGGGGATCATGGAAGTTTTAAAGWAACAAAATGAGTACACAGGCTTGACCCAGACCTTTATCTGCCCTGGAAATTTGCCAGATGTCAAACGCTGATGGTGKTTACACAAACTGCTGCACCTGGCAAAGCCCTGTAGGTTTTATTTGTGACAAACCTTATTCTGTGCTGCTTTCTCAGGTGGAACACTTGTGTGGGCCATCCTCAGTGCATCCCTCAAACCCCCTAAGGCTGATACAGCAGAACCAGCAGCAAGTGTCCTGCAGAAATGCCCCCAGGACATGCCCCCAGTCAKTCTGCTTTGCCCCCACCTTTGAGGAAGGCGTAGGCAGCCACGGGGAAGAASGGCAGCTGGAGAAAAGCCTCGCAGTAAATGAATGCCTTAAACCACTCCGGGGGCTGCAGCATCATGGGGTCCCTGAAGGCAGTGGCATATTGCTGCAACAGGTCTGTCAGCTGAAAAAAACCCAAAAACACCGTCAGAAACCGAGCATCAACCCCGGTGCAGAGCTGGGCTGGGGGCTCCTTCCTGGGAACAGCTCCATGCCAGGATTTGGGCTCAGGGAGCTGCAGTTAGTTTAGTTTCCRTGACAGAAATGTAAACTCCAGCATGGCTTTACGTTGGACTTTGAACACAGAGATATGCATTGAGATCTGCTGGTTAACTATTAATTGAGAATTGTTCCTATATTGGAGTAATCCTACAGGCAATTCCGATGGCAAAAAACAAATCGCCAGCTTGTAAAAGTCAGACAGGAGGTGACAGCCGACCTCRCCCTGATGATGAGGGCTGAACTAATTATCTGCCATCCAACCGTTATTTAATTGATTTTTAAAATGACGTTTATTGTTTTCTATGATTTTGTTCAAAATGCAGCAAACCAGAGATTTTTACTAACAAATCCGGTCGCTGGCATGCCTGCTCCCGCAGCGGCAACAATTGCTTGTTGCGTTTTTGGCCGGAATTGGAGGAAAATCGGGATCACAGAATGCCCGGGGAGCCACGTCCGGGGCACGTGGCGCCGGTACCGAGGGGACAGCGCGGCCATTGCCACGGAAAAGATGTCCTTGTGGCATTGGTGACACACGCACAGCCCACTCTGGGACAAGAACATCCCCAGCGCCCATCCCCGGGCAGGGCAGCGACCCCACACCGGCTCTGCGGGGATCCCTGGGACCGGGGCACGGAGCGGCCACCACATCCCGGGCACGGCCGCCCAACGCGCAGATGAAGCATCCCGAGCCCATTTCCATTTCCATTTCCATTCACGTTCCCGTTCCCATTCCCATCCCCATTCCCGTTCCCATTTCCATTCCCATTTCCATTCCCGTTCCCATTCCCATTTCCATTCCCGTTCCCATTTCCATTCCCGTTCCTATTTCCATTCCCATTCCCATTTCCATTCCCGTTCCCATTTCCATTTCCATTCCCGTTCCCATTTCCATTCCCGGTCCCATTTCCATTCCCGTTCCCATTCCCGTTCCCATTTCCATTCCAGTTCCCATTTCCATTTCCATTCCCATCCCCATTCCCGTTCCCATTTCCATTCCTATTCCCATTCCCGATCCCATTTCCATTCCCATTCCCGTTCCCATTTCCATTCCCGTTCCCATTTCCATTCCCGTTCCCATTCCCGTTCCCGTTCCCATCTCCATTCCCGTTCCCATTTCCATTCCCGTTCCCATTTCCATTCCCGTTCCCATTTCCATTCCCATTCCCGTTCCCATTCCCATTTCCATTTCCATTCCCATTTCCATTCCCATTCCCGTTCCCATTTCCATTCCCGTTCCCATTCCCATTCCCGTTCCCGCTCCTCCCCAATGAATGACCCGGCTGTGACTCATCCCGTGGGCTCCAGCGCCGCTTCGCTTCCCAGCGCTCTTTCACACACATTCACCGCAGTTTCTCTCCCCCCCGATGTCTCCACTAACGCCATTCGGCGCAGGCCGCCCCCGGCCCCATCAGAGCGGCSGATGCCCCGCACGCATTGGCGGAACGAGCCCCCGCGGCCCCCGGCCCCACTCACGGCCCGCGGCGCGATCCCGGACGGCAGCAGCGGCTGGAGGTCGATGAGCGCCGTGATCGGGATGTGCGAGAGGAAATAGAG